GTGTCCTGGCCCCACTGCTGGACCTCCTGATGGCCCCTGGTATTTTTGGCCACTGTGTGACACAGAGTGTTGGACTGGATGGGCCATTGGCCTGATCCAACACTGGCTTCTCTTATGTTCAAACGTCGTTGGCCTCAAAGGTGCCACTAGACTCAACCTTTGTTCTGCTTCTTCAGACCAACTCGATGACCCACCTGGATTTATACCCTAAAAGTTTTCTCCCTCTTCTCTACAGCCAGCCCCAGTTACGGCATTGAACATTGGGGTGTTTCTTTTTTTTTGCTTGCCCCGTAAAACTCTTTGAGGAGCCGCCTTATTCAGTGAGCTGAATTAGCCCTGGTAATCTTTGCCAGCTCCTTGTATCTTCAAAGCACATGACCAGCGGCATAACCGGCGTCTGGAAAACAGGCTTTCTTTCAGAAGCAAAGCAGGGCAAAACACTCCCATCTGCAGATTAACTCGGGCTTCTTGTCTCCTTGACAGCTCAAGAACACCCCAGGCCAGGGCTTGCCACACCGGGGTCAGCTGGAGAACATCACTCTGTACGCCCTGCACCTCTGCGAATGCCTCTTCGATCCCTACCAGACGTGGAGGAGACAGCTGAGCGGGTGAGTGTCATCCCCCCCCCTGGTTTGCATTCCTCTACGGAGGCTCCTAGAGCTGGTGGGTGCCTTGGCAGCATCCATAGAGTGTCCCTCGTGGAGTTTTTTCCAGCTGCCCTAAGAGGTGGGGCGTACCTGACACTGCCTGACTATAGAATCAGTTCTGTTCCCAGCAGAAAAAGGGCTGAGTCTCCTGGCTGTCAGTGTTGCCAACCTCCAGGTGTCACCTGGAGATCTCTCACTATTACAGCTGAGCTCCGGACAGCAGAGATCAGTTCCCCCTGAGAAAAGTGACAGAAAAAACAACAACACTGCAATAAGACGCCAAAGAAATCTAAATTGATTATAAAACTTGTGTTTGGTTTTTTCATATCTGTTGTGCCAGAGTTTATAGTCTGAAATGTCACTCGAGTCTGTATGTTCACTTACAAAAGGTAAGTGCAATTTTGAAATCCTCAGAGGGTAATTGCAAGACGAATCCACGTTATCACAGAATGGAGTATTGAAAGAAGAATCATCAAGTCATTTGAAAGAAGAATCACACGAGGATCCCGGATATAGATTCCCTCGTTTTCGTTGAACTTTGTCAGCGAAACCAGTATCAATCATGTTACAAAATATTTTCTTCTAAGTGTATGTAAACAGTAAGGGGACAGTCATTCCAAAAGTAGTTCTGCAGTTGTTTACAAAATCTTATTTATGGGGCATCAGTTCAGAAATTAACAAAATTTAACTGGAAACTAACAAAAGCCTTCTAATGCTGGTATAGCCTCCTATGATAGCATGGTTATTGATACTGGCCTGTTGTTGGCCCTCCAGAGGAACTGGTTGGCCCCTGTGTGAGACCGGACGCTGGACTAGATGGACCCTCCCTGGTCTGACCCAGCAGGGCTCTTCTTAGTTTCTTATGACATAAAGGATAAATTCAAATGATCATACATAGCCCTCAGTCCTGTATCTGATGTGTGGTAAAATCCATGATATGTGGCCAAAATTTCCTTTTTATTTTATTTAGCGTCACCTAATACATATAGCACACATAATACCGCCTACCATGTAAAGATCTTATGTGACCCAACAACATGGGATTCAGAAACACAGTCTATAGCATAATATAATCATATCAACGTCCAGGATTTCCTCTTTAATATTTTCCTCTGGCCTTAATTGCATTCCGGTATGTAACAAACAGGCTCCAAATCTTAATAAAATTTTCTGGTGCACTTCTTCCCTTAACATATCTACCTAATTAGGCAAAAGACTCTTTTAGCTCTTGGTAGGGTGATTGATTGAGCGGTGGCTCAAGTGGTTAAGACGCTGAACTGCAGGCTGTGGAAGGTCAGTAGTTCAGCAGTTCGAGACCTGAGTGTGCCGCATGACGGAGTGAGCTCCTGTCTCTAGTTCCAGCTCCTGCCAACCTAGCAGTTCGAAAGCAAGAAACTGCAAGTAGATCAATAGGTACCACTTCAGTGGGAAGGTAACAGCGTTCCGTGCGCCTTGGTTGTTAGTCATGCCGGCCACATGACCACGGAAACGTCTTTGGACAGCGCTGGCTCTTCGGCTTTGAAACGGAGATGAGCACCGCAACCCTAGAGTCGGATTCGACTGGCTTTCGAGCAAGGGAACCTTTACCTTTAGGGTGATTGAATGGACCATGCCCCCCTGGGGTGCCAGAACACCCTCCCCCCTTTGTAAGGGTTCAGACAGCTGCCTACCCAAATGGACTTATGCATGCTATCTTAGCCAGGTCACTGCAAACAGTGGTCTCTGTTCATCCACCCTTAAAGGAACGGCAAGGGAAGTCCTCGCCAAACCAACACTTCTGGTTTAATTTTTAAAAGAATGATTACAAACAGGGGTCATTTTGTAGAAAAAGAGGTGCAGGAGCTCATTAGCACAACTCATTAGCATAACCTATTTGCATAGGCCACACACCCTGACATCACCGGAAGTGTGTCAGAAGGCAACAC